AGCAAGTGTGTCAGTGCCCCCTCAATGCACCAGGGATGTAAAGAGTTTTATTTTCTAAACGAATAACCAAAAAGAGGGCATAAATAGACGCTTTAAACACGCGCCATATTGAGCCTCCATTGTCGACTTTCTCTAGTCTTACCGAGGTGCCGATGCATTGAAGCAGGCGTTGACGAGTTTTTACAAGGACCTATGCTGGGGAGAAGGACACAGTAGATCATAAAGTGGCAATAACCTGTCCTGCCGTGGTTATGATGAAGTGAAGCGAACGGAATCAGAGAGAACAAAAACTGAAGGTTGGTTAAGGCGGCGCCCAAGCACAGCCGCCTGAAAGCGTCTATGGTGTGTGTTTGTTTGAACAAACCTTCATTTGATAGAGCACTTCGTCTAGTCCCCTTCCTTGTTCCTGTTTAATTCGGCGCTTTTCGTTTAGCTTGTGTTATTATTTGTATCGAAGTGACGTGCAAAAACACGCTCCGCTCATACGCAGACAGCTCAAATGTTCTCTACTTAATACACCCTCATTGGTTCCAAAACGCTATGGAATTTTCGTCCGGTGTGGCACTCGTTTTAATACGAAACGTCCATGCGGAGTCTATAGGGTACGCGCTCGGTTCCTTATTTTTAATTCAGTCCATCTGCTCCAAAATGACAAAAATTACACCTAAGGGGCTCCGACGTACCTCAGCTGTCGCTGTGCTTCGCCTTGCGGGTTGCGTAAGTCTTTACATTTACGCAACGCATAGAAAAGAACAGCCAGTGACAGTTCTTTTCTGTCCTTTTTTTATGTCACGTGTGGCCGTTCATTTCATTATCAATTTCGAGAACGGAAGGAACCCAGTAGTTTAAGTCATTTACTTTAATTTGTACTTGAGTAGACTTTGATCCGTTTTAATTGCCATCGTTGGCGTTTAAGGTAAATACTGATTGTTCTAAATTTAATTTCTCTGAAACTTTGTGTTTTGTTGGCATCACCAAAAGTATTTAATTATTGCTTCGGACATACTGGCAGCGATTTTGACGATAATGGTAAACTGAACGTAGGACATTAACGTCTTAGAAAACCGAGACCGGGGACAAAAACACAGCACACAGTTAGGAGAGACTAGTGTGTATGTCGCCCCTCTTCTTGTCCCTCTGTTATTTCTATATTTGGAGCATTCGATCAAAGGATGTGCTATAATAAATCCCGTTGCCCTTCAGATATATTATAACAAACATGCGTGATTATTCAAAATTGTTATAAAGTCAAGGAATTCCAGAATTTAGATTCATTAAAAAGTAATGAAGCCTCGAGAACCTAAGAAAAGGACAGCGTAATTGCCTGCAAGAATTCTTCGAGAATTTTAAAATTTATTTTTCATGGCACTGAAGAATTTTTACGTTGTTGAAATGGACTGTACGGTATTTTCCCGGCCTGGTTTTGATACGCAATGACAATTACGTTCGTTACCATTACCTTCCCTTTCAAAGAACTTGTACCTTAATGTAATTTTTTGCAACAAACAAGTTTTGACAGTTTTATTTATTTTTTACTTTTTAGCCTCACGTTATTTTTATACTGTCTTATGACCAAACTCTGATGACTCCTGGTGCTACAAATTGGGTTAAGAAAAAAGAAAAAAAAAAAAAAAGAAACGAAAAGATGGCCTCCCTGTATCATGAACTGGAATTCATACTTCACAGATTTACTATCTCGCTTTCAACGCCTAGAAGGTAGGTGACTTCAATCTTCCGAAACCAAAGAATGCTTCTTTATGATCTGGAGATTCAGCTGTCGCGATTTCCTGCCGGGATCTCTCTATGGTGGCAATAAATGCTGCGACGGAAAGACGTCCCTCGTTCATTTTGTTGACCTTAATCGGTATCGGGCGGCCTTTATTTCGCACAGGCTGGGAGAATAGATAAGGTATAAAGAACGCTGCCATATTGATTTCATTTTTATGACTTCTGGGACCCAGATTGATTATTTTTAAGTCTCGGTTATACTTTTAAGGCTTCTGAGCCGATCGTGAGAACGAGTGACTCTTTGATGCACAATCTGACAAATGATCTAGAGGTTGCATCGAAAAAAATGTATTGCAACTTAATAGAGGTTCTTGTCATGAATCGGAACTTTCGCGAGCGCGAAGCAATATAAATTATAGTTAATAATTGTTTTGTTTTTATTTTGTGTTGTTGAGCTCTGGGAACATTTTTAGGTGGAGCTGAGTTATCCTGCGACACGATTATTTGTTCTTTATACTTTAATTAGCCGCACAGCTTATTCAAATATCTTAAGCCAAGTCCTCGATATATTTCTTCAAAGCAGTGGTCGATAATCCACGTATTCTCCTTTCTTTTTTGGTTTTGATCTGACGTTTAAGCCATTTTTAAGCTCCTTGCACTGAATCCTCAAACGTGCATGGCAACAGTTAAGATCAGCAATAGTATTTCAGATCGTCTCTTGAAATTCCGTGCCGCGCATACGAACTTGGCTCTGATATTAGACGATGGCTGGTGATATGACGCGAAAAAAAAAAGAAAGAAAAGATAGGCTGAATTCTTTTCATTCTCCTTTTATCTAAGATTCATTGACTCCATCAAGGTTAGATATGTTAACCTGAGAGAAAGTAGGGCTGGACGTCGATTAAAACTTTTAACCCGATTAATCTTTACCCTTTAATAAATTAATTAGTCTTTTAATCTGTCTCGTTCATTTTTATACATAATATGTAAAAAAATCCCCCCCCCCCCCAAAAAAAAAAAAAGAACAAAAATCTTTTTTTTTTTTTTGGCTTTTGTTAAATATGTGACAAACAGCGTAATATATACAAATTTGATTTCGAATCGACCTCGATATGTAGTTCAGAACAGTTTAAGGACACTCACACTCACAGATTATTACTTCAGCTGAATGAAACAAAGAGGTTCGTTAATAATCTCGGGCAAGAGCAACCTCCCTTGATTGTTCACAGTAGTCTGTTGTGCTAAACGAACACTCGAACGCCGTTCCCGTGGCCTGGACACGTGCAACCTTTTGCAATTATCTCGAGTTACAAATCTCGCCCTACAGTCTGCTTTAGGCTAAAATTTCACCTAAAGCTTGCTCTTTGTACACGTGTAGTCGTCCACGTCTTCGTGGTGAAACTGTTGAATTTTTACTTTCTTTTTATCATGAAAATTTTACCAATAAACCGGTTAAACAATTAATCGTTATTATAACATTAATCGATTCAAGTAGTTCTCTGTTTCACGTCAAATTTATTTATTTCCAAAATACATGTGTGAAAATCAGGACATTCTAGCTCGTTCTTGTTTATCTTTTCATTTCAAAATATTATCAGTTTTTAGTGAGACTATAATTGGATAGCATATATGCGGGTGGCACTCAGTTGGTCAAATGACGCTTCAGTTAACGCCGAATTTTCATCGAAAGACACTTTAGTGGATGGTCGGCCGTGGGCCAAAAGGGCTGACATTTTTGTAAATGAGCCGCCGCAGACTGTCGCCGTAATGCGGCCTGAACGGAAGGGGGCGGGTTGATTAACATGCTCCACATCCTTCGGTGAAACGTCGATTCGCTCAAATGACCACTGTTCTCTAAAACGTCATTCGCACATGTCATAAGGACCCGCCATATGCACTCTCTGGCAATAAACAAAAAAAAATGTAACACACACTTTCCGATTACGATAAATTTTGATAACATAACATTCTCAGATGGATTAGCCAGTGTTGAAAACAAATTGGCTAATTGGGCTAGTTGGTGCATAAACTAAAAAGTAATAAATAATAATTGGGGGTTGTGGGGATGTTTATACAGCGTGTAGTTGGTCAGCCATTAAAGTTGCGACGAGTCACACGCTGTAGATGAGCAATTTAGCCAGTGCAGTACAACCGCTAGCCTGGGATCTTTAACGTGCACCACGCAGTAGTGATACAGACTAAAAGTAATAAAACGCCGAAAACAACAAGGACCAAGACGAAGTAAGACAACAGAAGGCGCTTTGTGTTGTCTTCGTTTAGGTCCTTGTTGTTTTCGGCGCCTTATACATGTTTAATGCTCATTACAAATACAGTTTATCGACAAAAAAGATGTTACTCAGCAATAAGCTACAACGGCACAAACGCGGGAGCGAACCCATATACAACACTTAAACTGTTTAACCAACCGACAAACACAACAACAAAACAAAAAGTCATACATAGATGTTTAATTTCACAAATTCATTTTATGATGTATAAATTTACACAGCGACGCAAAAAAAAAATATTTGTGTAATATAAATATTATATAGGGCTCGATGTCTGTCCACACGGCGGCCTCGTCTAAGCTCAACATCTGCTTGGTCGTCTTCAAACCGGGATGTCCTTTCTTAATGTCCAAAGCGACCCGGAGGCTTCAGCAGTCTTCCTGATCTCCTGTAGACTACCCTAGCCGCGGCTCTGCCTGGGCGTCTAGTTTCGAACTAACCTTGACGTGCACTGCGTAAGTTTGGGCCCCGTAAGCAGTTCTACAATCACGCACAGCTTAAGAATTGCGGGGCGTGACAAGCCCCCGAGCGTCAAGTCCCCAGCAACCAACGAGCTTGCGGCATTACAAGATAAAAACGCTGAGCCGACCACGAAGCAGAAAGCGCGAACGTAATAATCTCACCACCGCTCGCCTACTCAAAAAACACGTCTGTGAGCGCGGATTTCCAAACTGATTTCTCATTCCAAAACATGTACACTGCCTACGTTAACGCGACAGTGCAAGAGGGGAAGCACTCTTCGTATAGTGTGTCGGAACTAAGAACTTTTTTTTACATCTTATTCTTATGTTTTTTAAACACAAATTTGCGGGAACTTCTTCCGTCGCCTTCAAGGGCCCCAATGCCCGAGAAAGCGTGACAGAGTTTCCAAGGGTCGCGGAAGAGCTTCCGAGTTTCGCCAACGCCTTTCTCTCGCGCGCAAGTTTTCCTAATGGCCCGGTGGGCCAGAACGCATATATTGAGCTGGCACACGTATAAAAGGTTGGCGCTAACGCCCGGCTGCCTCAAGTTCGCAGCATATCTTCCTATACGTCCCGACGCCGCAGGACAGGGACAAAAAGTTGGTAGGTGCTGTCCGAGGAATAACAAATAGGCTACACTTCCCCTGGACAGAAGTGATGACCGTAAGTACGAGCGTTTATTGAATTGGATTCATCGTACAGCTGTTGTCATATTGTATCATTCTGGACATCAGAAATGTAGCTCAAAGTAACTATATCTTACGAAGGACCACGATAGGTGACTAGAGGAACTACAGTTGATTTCTGATCTGATTTTCGACATCTAAAATACCTGCGAGTTTGGAGTAACTATATACGGAACCGCCGGACAGTCGCCAAGGGCAGATAAATAGACCTGAGTGTGTATCCGTGAAGAGGCTTTGCTCGAAACCGCTACAGGCGAGGACACCGGACCCTTTTGCCATAAAAGACGTCAGCCTGCTTTCTTGTAATTTAGCGAGTTTATAACTAGTTGTCACTAGAGAATTTCAAGCAACTAGACCACTACACTAGGAGCCATTTGCGTTCATCACTTCCTAGATATGCCAGACAGGTCATTTAGAAAAATGTTACTACAATAGTGTATATCGTCAAATCTTCCGTGAACGACCCATATCTGGTATATTTTCAAACTTCTTCGAAGGAACCGTTTATAAAATATGTATATATATATTTTTTTTTCTACCAGACAACCATATCAGGCACGAATTTCGAAATTATGTCTCACGAACGTCTGTACTTTTAATCTGCCAAAAGGATTCGATCGGACTCGACCATATCACCCCCATTCCTCGTTTTCTTTATTTTCACCGCGTTAGATGCAAATATATACATTTAAGTTCAGGTCCCATTTGGTTCCTCGCTAGGGTGACAGCAGACCGGATGCAACGTGCCGGCTGCACCGATCAATCATCGAGATCGTGCCACCTAACCGAGGCCTTCGAAAACCACCCATCGAAAAACGCGGCAACAAATTTCAGTGAACAATGCGCGATTAACCCATCCGGTGTGAAGCAGCTTCCGCTTCACTGCCAGAACCGAATGACGAACAGTTAATCGAAGGCTTTGAGATTGATCGACTCTCGTCGACGGCTCGTTTCGACTCCCTCACCGTCGCGTCGGAGCAAAAGCGGTCGGGGTGCACCCAGAGAGGCTACGGCACACTTCCATCATATCGACCTCGATCGGGCTCGTGGCGTCTTCATTGAACCCTCTAAAAGCCCGCATATTGAGCATTCAAATGGCGCAGTATATAGCGTTCCGTGGCAGGGGAAAACGAGCCGAAGGTAATTCGAGCGCCACGGGTTCCGTATATCCGTCGCGTGATTGCGGCGGCGGCGGGGTCGCTCCGTGTCGCCTTGGAAGATTAGACAGTGGAGTATAGGGATTAAAAAGCGGGATTACCAGAATCGCGCGTTATCTTCGAAGTTATGCGGTCGTGACCTCAACCGTGGCTTAGATGGACAAGCGATGAGAGAAACACGGGGGGAATTATTTGTCGCGGCTCGTCCTTCCTATACTCGGCGACAAGTTGTTCCCTCCGCACATGCCTCTACGAGTGTGGCGGGCGTTAAAGGGGCGTGGAGCGATACCACACAGACGATGAGGCCTGTGCCTTTCCCTCCCGAACGTCATCACTGGTGAATGCACGGGGCATCGCCTGGTTTGCGTGAGCAATATCACCGGCGCGCCTTGCAGCGCCTAACAACAAGCGCGGAGCGATGCGGAGAGAAAGTCGTCTGCTTCTAGCACAGGGTTTGCGGTGACGTCATGATGACGTCGAGCTCTGATTGGCTTTGATTGAAAGGATAGTGAGTAGACCTCAACGCTAGACGCCTTGAGGTCTACCCACTATTTTTTGTTTTTTGATCAGCCAATAAGAGCTCGGCGTTCTGACATCATTGCAACCCCTGCAAAAAAGCAGACGAACTTGCGCTCCCCATAGCAAGCGGCAATGATAAGACGGACGCGTCTGCCGCCTCGCGGCGTTTTTCGTCGAGCTTCAACCTATTTGCCACTTGGGGGTGGGTCGGGCGGGCATCCGCTAATGATGGCGTCATTGCTTAGGCCTTGCCTTCTATGTGGCATTGCCTGGATTCGCTCCTTGGATTAGAACGCCACGCGAGATCCGGTAGAAGATTCGTTCGGCTTTTGGGCAGGCCGAGATGGCGTGTATATGTGGTGGTTTATGGGACGCAAGGTTGCTTTTTTTTCGTTGTGGAAGCGTAGTATACCGTGTGGCGGAGGGATTATATGCCTTTAGAAGGGGCGGCCGCAGCAGCTGTTCCACTGTACGGGATTAAGAGAGTGGGACTCCAGTGTGCTGAGATAAAGCAATTCCTGATAGGATGAATGGAAAAAGATCGCATTCTGCACTCCATATCACCATGATTGCGTGCAGTGCTAGCAAATGCAGACACGCGAGCTCAAAATGCTCTTAGTGCAATAATACTCGTCCAAAAAACAAAAATCTACTTTCTTTCGCCACGTGGTACGAACTGTGCCTAGCCAACGCCCACCATAATACAGCATAATCCTCTGTACAATAAATACCGTTTCACCGTCGTTAGGCGCTGCGCCGTAAGTCTTCGTGGTATGGGCGACTTGCCTTCCTGCGGCCTCGCTGCTCTCTTGAGCTGAATTAAGTCTCAATATCAATACTGCATTGAACTTATGACGTACAATATGTAGGAAGCAACTGGTGTTTTGATTTCAATCTGGTGCATTGAATAAACTTTTTTTTTCGTTTCTTTTCGACTATTTGTTAGCATTTTCGATGATCTTTCTGACAAATAATACCACGAAAAAATAGCGATATTTTTGGAAATCCACGTGTTCTTCGTCTGTTCAGTATTTAAACAGACGCCGAGGGCTTCAAATCGTACTTTGAATCAATTCGGCCTAATGCCTTCAGGCGATGGTGGTTTCGTATACAGTGATTTCCCTACACACGTCCTAGGGGGGAGTACACCCCCCTTGTTTTTCTGAAGGCACCCCCTTAATTCACAACGACTCCCCTATTCTCAATGCCCCCGCCCCCCCTAACCTCCCCCTAAAAATGTATATACCCACCCTAATTTCAGTTCCTGGGGAAACCTCCGGTTTCCTACCGTCGTTCTGGCCGCGTCAGTGCACTTGGGCTTTGGTGGTGCTTCGGCTCTACGATACCTGGCTCTTGTCCGGAGAACGCACACTAAAACCGGAGTTGGGCCGGCGGGGACATGCGTCATATTACCCTCAGCATGTCAGACTCTAGTACATACATACGACGATACCACCTTCGCCTCCTTACTCTAATAGCTCTTTATCTCCCTTCCACTCCATAGGACGAACATCCTCTCGTCATAGGTAACTGTTGCAGGTTAAGAAAAGCAGAACAGACCCATCCCACAAAGCTCGCCATGATTGGTTAGTTCCTCCTCTCCAGCCTTCGCTCTTCAAAAGCGGAAAGCGCCGAGCGCTTTGTGGGACGAGCTGTCCTGATTTTCTTAGTATGCAACAGACTATAACTCAGCGTGTTACGATCCCCTCCTTCCATTTGGTATTTTTTTAAATAGTAAACTTACTTCATCGGCCTTTTAGAGCGTTATGTACGGCGCCTAATCTCTTTGAGAAATTCTATATGAAAAATAAATGAAAAAGCCGGCCCCCGTTTTCTTTTGTATTAGTCTAGCAAACGCAGTGCTAACACAGAATGTGATATCATAGTGCGGGGCTTTCTCAAAGCCTGTGTCGGAGTGTGAGACGCACTAGGCGGACCGCGCCGTTTTCACGGAGCAGAGTCACGCTGCATATGTCTGATGACGTGATGTTTTCCTCCCGCCGGAAGTAACATGGATGCACTCGAGGAAGGCGTTCGGCTGGCACTGGTGTCCAATCGGAGAGGAGCCGAGCGCTTGTGTCAGCGGTCGGCTGGTAGTGGGCGTTATCAACTTCCGTCCCCGATCGGGGAACGGAAATGGTTAGCTAGGTGTCAGCCATATGGTTAGGTTAGGTGCCAGCCATTTTGCGCTAATAGTGAGTGTGGTCTTTTTTGTTGCTGTTTTATTTCTTCAGAGGCTGCTATTGGTTTCGTTCGTCCTGGCGGGCGTGGCCACGGGCGTTCTCGGAGGCTCCGTGTATGCTGCTCCGGCGGCTCCGGTAGTGGCCGCCGCTCCAGCGGCACCTTTGCTAGCCGCCGCTCCGGCTGCCCCTTTGCTTGCCGCTGCTCCGGCGGCGGTCCTGGCCGCACCCACGGCCGTCTCCTACACGTACCGACACCAGGTGCACCATCCCGTGGCGCACGTACCCTACGCATTGCCCTACGCACTCGGCTATTACGGTGAGCGTGCGCCCATTTTATATATAGACGCTTTGCAGCACCTGTGCATGCGCACCGCCATAACCGACCTTCAGTTCTTGTTTCCTGTTATTACATTTACTTCACTTCATGACGTTACCGTGATCGTTACCTTAGCGGGGCAGGTTATTGCTATTTTAGGTTCTACAGTGTCCTTCTCCACAGCATTGGCCTTTCTGAAGGCTTGTCAACGCCCGCTTTAGTGGCTCGGCACCTGGGAAAGACAAGAGAAGGTCAGCAATGGCGGCTGTAATTTGGCGCGTGTGTAAAGCGTCTATTCGCCGTCATTGTACTGGCTGTTCCTAAGCTGCATTCGTGGCCATCACTTCTTCATGGTTGGGCAGTAGTGGAGAGCCTCGATCTAAGAGAGGGAGCGACTCAAACCATGGAGAGCGTTTACAGCCTAATGGCGGACGCCTCTCTTGTGCAGATTTGTCGTAAGTGCGTGTGCGTTGCGTTGTTGCGGAGTGAGGACGAAAGCGGGCAGAAACGCTTGCAGACGATAAACGCTTTCGTCACCTCTTCGAAGCTCATATTGCAAACGCGGCCCATGAATCACGTGACCTCGTTCGAGCGGTTGGAAATATTCCGAAATCTAGGCACGCTGGTCAGGAACACCCTGCGACGTTGCAGATAGTGTTTCGTCGGCATGTCTTCTGCTGTGAAATCCGCGTATTATGAAGTGTGTGTGTGTGTGTGTCGAGGAGAATCGGGAATTTCGGACTACTTTCTTCGGTGATAAACAGCGCGCTGTCGACGACTGCAGGCAAGTGGCACCGTGCTCGCAAAAACCAAAAACGATGTGTCCTCCGATTAAATGCGAGAGGCTCGAATGCTATGCGTTACAGGCCCTGCAGACTAGTTTTTGTTGAAATCTCTTACGTAGTGTTACGCAGATTGCTTGGAACGAGCTCAAAGAAGTACGTACAGTGTTGAACCACTACAACAGTGGAAGCTTTTTGTTTTTGTTTTCCCTGACACAGGAAGCTAAAATTTTGGGAAAATTATTATCTGCAGAGGTTAAAATATTTTTAAATGTGTTGCTTCGTGCTTTTTTTATATTTAGATTCATGAATTTCGCATGCATTACGATACTTCTGAAAATATGCCTCTCAGAAGAAATTTGACAGCATAAGTGCGCGAGGAAATTAGGCACTGCTTTAGCAAGAAGCTCTAAAATCACTGGTCAGGGCGTTTTATAAGTTAAAAGAGGGACAACTAAGACAATTCAGAACGGAGGCTTTTCAAAGCACAGGCGAATTAACTGAATGATATTGATTCTTCGCGTGCCCTTTGGCATGCTTTAATTCGCTGATTCTCTAAAGGCCTTCGTTCTTAAAGTATTTCAATTTCCTCTGAAACAGGGGTATTTCTAGCTGGGTGTTTATACAGAGACCCGTCGATGTGCCCTTGGGATTGAACAGCACTGTTCGCGCTGTAGAAGAAACATTTTGCCAGTGTAGTCCACCACATCAATTATACGTTCCCACGCTCGTATATAATTCTCACCCAAATCGAAATGGGCAGGGTCGGGGATTGAGAAGATGATCTCTGGGTTCTGCAGCGTGATATTTCGTACCAAGTGTTCCAAGCAACGGTGCACTAACGCGCTTGGCTACCCATCCCTCTTTTTTTTTAACATGTCCATCGAGTTTATTTTTTAGTCACGTGTCACTGGAAAGATATCCAGAAAACAGTTAACCGTAACGCGTGCGAGAAAATGCACACACGTTATCTTAGTTAAGTTTCTCTTCTAAATGATGTGATCGGATTTCGTGTGACTGGCGTGTCATTATAACCCCGGTTGTCACCGGCATTTTGTCGTTCCAGGTTAAAACTCCTCCAAAAAACACTGGAGCATTGTGGCGTTTGGCGTGGAGCAGAACGAACTGCAGGACGGATGCCCTCTTGTAAAAGGAAGGTTCCAGAAATAATGTACTTGTGAATAAACTTAGTATACAACTGTCACAATGTTCGCAAATATTTCTAATACATCGTGTCTTCATTAGGAGTTCTATTATCTGCGAGTTGTGATTTCTACGCCCGCTCCCCCTGGCGCCATCACCATAATCCAGGTCTCGCCTTTTGCTTTCTGTATGAAGAGAAGAAATTGCTCAGATTTTTCGCTGGTGATTTTTTGCTGTTGTTATTGCTTTATTGGTATAAACTGTATTGATCAAGCAAGTAAAATTCAAAAAGGCATAAAAATCAACGTAAAGGTTGCCATTTTCTCCCTGAATTAAGCCTGTACCCCATACGCGCGGTAATTACAGTCAGCTCCTTTGAACGTCTGACACAGCGACATAATGCTACGACTTTATGGTGCTCATTACAGGTGAACGATTTTGCGGTGGCCGCGTGGTGGATCGATAGCTCTCCTCAAACACTCGAAACATATCCACGTTGAGCAATAGAGGGATGGGTTCATTGCATGGGTCCGCGACTACTAATGCCAGATGAATTCCGCCTCTCCGAAAAGTGTTCGGACTGCTACTAAAATTCTTACCCACATTTTGTCACGTACCCTATCCTATGTTCACTCTCTGTTTGACAAATGCAAGACGTGAAGAATTATGTTTACGCCTCGCGCTTCGTGCTTCGTTGTTCGGGGTTCATATCGACGAATGCCGCAATTTGATTGGCTGTGGAGCGCTAATGAGATGCTTAGAAGTCACCCCGCTTTGCGCTTTCTTTTTTTTTTTTTTAGTGACGCTAAGCATAATTTCGAGTGACCAGTCCGTGTGACAAGTCCATCACCACTCACCGTAGTAGACGGGACGTTCGGCTTTCCGTCCCCTCACAGTTTCGAAATCGCTCGGCATAAGTGCAGAAGAAATTGATCGATACCTCAAAGCATACGTTTTCGCAAATTTTAGAACCAGTTATGAAATACAAAAAATATTAATTGGAATTATTGGTCATTCCTTCAACCTATTGTGGCGCCTTTACTGCCACCGGATATCCGCCCTTTCGGTCTAAACAAGAAACTTTTTTTTGGCTATTAGACATTCCCCTTGTGTCGGTCCTCTCTCTCTCTCCTTCCTTCCTTACTTTTTTAATTTCTTTTTTTTATAATTTGGGTGGTTACGTGGGGTGCCCTAAGCTTTCCCCTCACCCGTATTTTTTCACTTCTTGACTTACAGACCTCTTGCACCTTGCTTGGCAACTTTTCCTCGTCTCCTTCTGACTCCATGACGTCCCGTCTGTCACTAGTTACCTCCGTCTTTTGTATATACGTTGTATATATATATTGATCTGTCATCTCCACTTTTAGTATACCTGAAGAACACCGCTTGGTCGAAACGTCGTTCACCTCCTTTCCTCAGGCACTTCTCTTTACCTTATATCCCTACTAATGTACTGACAACTATACTACGTTTCAGCTTAAGTCCAGACGTTGCCAACCTTATGAGGTAATGGGATCAATCGAGCAGCGTCAAAAGCTGAAGTCGCTGGGCCTCTTCGGTTTAGGATTGGTTCAGCGATAATAGAACACTCACAGAAACATGGAGAACACCATGATGGTGCACTTTTGGTGGTGTCTGTTTGGTACCGTTGGCTCATAGTGACGACTGCGCCTGGACTTAAAGGTGCCCCAGGAGGCTTTTGAGGTCGCCTAAATATGGCGACCTCAATCTCAGAAATCTCCTCAGGGCACCTTTAAGGTGAAATAATGCATAGCCCCTTCGTGGACAAACAAAAGATTTGCGTCGATCAAAAACCAAGACGCTGTCTATAGCAGAAGCACTAACGTGCGACTCAGAAGAAGACGTCAGTTCACGAGCGGCATACGGGTGCACGAGCACGTAAATCAATCGTAGCCACGTGATCGTACCAAACGCATAGACTGCCTTCCACTCCTCGGCGCCACAGTGCCTTGAATGCTAAAGAGACCTCCCCCGGTTTCTGGCAAATCCGTGTTACGATCACCTATGGAAATGCAAGCGCCCCTTCGTGTATCGGTGTCCTCAAAGTCGTTTCCCTCGGGGCGTTCACAAAAGCATACGGCTGCGGGAACAAACCAAGATGTAGCCGGGATCCCTTCATTGCCTATGCGTTGGAGATCTCCGCGATCCCGCATTGACAGGGTTTTATCTGGGAACAACATAGTCCACAAAGCGGCCCTGCTGTCCCAGCACTCCCGTCAAACCGATCATAATTTGTAGCGACATATACTACTATTAAAGGGCTTGAGCTTGATGTTTCATACATTAGGTAGAGGTGAAATGATGATATTACAATTCTTGTCCATAGGGGGAGCGGGCCTCCGCCCAACGAAAAAAGTTCAGCCGCAGGCATCCATCGATCCTTTTAAATATGGCTTGCCATCTCGCTTTGGCTTGTTTTCGATGTGGCCGAAATGGCTTTTGCCCAAACGGACAAGGCGAAACTTAGTTTTATATCTTACGTAGAGTAATTGCACATACCTAATGTAAAGATATAATTTACTACGTCATGACATTTGCAGAAAACACTGTAATGTGTACAATCGTGGAACTGGTACGTTCCCTTGTATAGATCAATATCAAGTAAAAGTTCTCGTCAAGCATTATCGCCTTCGCTCGAACCAAAATTTAAAAACATGTCAAATGGCAGATGATGAAATAAAAAAAAAGGAGAAAGATATTTCTAGATAGCGGTATTAATCGTAAATATGCCGCGAGTGTAATTCTAATATCTTTTACGAGTTTAATAATGTCCCTTAAAACCCTGCACACTGCAACTGTGCGCACGGCATAATTTGAGAGCCGTTGTGACGTTTTCTAAACAGTGGAATTTACGCCTTGGATTTCATCATGTATATGAAGATGACTAATTATATAGAAGCGAAGTGAGCCTATTGCAACAGGGACAGTATAAACAATCTTCCTAATTGCGATACTCTGGGGAAAGTTTTTAAGCCATTCATTTTGCACGCTAAACTAAACGTACGTATGGGTCTAAAAGCATATTCACTCTCCATTATTTACGACTTTAAAATAAAAGTCCATGGACCACTTTTTTTTACCGCAATGCACAATGTATTGTGCTGTTCCACAATACTATATGTGCTGTCAACTATATCTGCGAAACTATGTACAGACTCCAAGAATATAAAATACCCATTCGACAAGGCAGTTGCAGGCAGCTGCGCTACATTCACTATAACTAGGCCCATAATGCTTGGCGTGAGGACAAATTTGTGGCGAATTCCTAGGTAGTTGTGTTGTCTACGTAAAATGTCCTAGTATCACAAACGTTTAGCGATACTTAGAGTTTCTAGACGTCTGACGCCTGTCTTCACGGCGCACTTCATTAAATAGTTGAATGCGCAACATTTGTACACTGGATAATTGTTTCTAGAATGAAGCGATACTACCGCTAGTCGAGCTGAGAAAAATAGCAATCTTCTAGAGCCTTCCATATATTTCTAGAGCTCCTCTCCCTCAGTGCTCACAGTTGGTCGAGCTCCTCCTTTCCTACCCCTCTGGTCACATGATCTCTTCGTTAACCAATCAGCGCTGAGCACCTCACTCCTCCTCTTCTACCCGCCAACCAATAGGGGGGTCGAGCCTCGCAGCCGCGCTTTTATCAGGGCTTCACAAAATACCGAACACCTAGCCGAAGAGCGTTTCATGTTAATATATGAACCTTTGTTTTTAGAACCGCCGCATAAACTGACTAGGTGGTTGGGTCATTCATATTGTTAATGACTGTTCGTCCTTTCATCTGCATGCCTCATCAGATTAACTAATCACTACCTCGTTTAGTACATCTAGATTTTTCTTCAAACGGTTGTGTTTGGCAGCTATAAACCGCATTACGATGTTATTCATAACTGCCGTTGATGTGTTTATAAATGTCTCGTTGTAGGAAGAGTGTTATCTTTTAATGTGAAATGTTCTTTGGCTATTTGCTCCAGATTTCGTGGAGCCGAATTTTGTAAAGCCGTGGTCTGTGGTGTCCCATAATGCAGCGCGCGCAGAGTTGCATTATGGAACGTCACAGACCTACACACCAATTCAGTTTCTCCGCTAAATTTAGCGGAAAAGTTGAATTAGTGTATAAATCACGTGACATCAGATCACGTGACGTCAATTTCCCCGCTAAATTTAGGAGGAAAATTAACGTCCCGTAAGCTACACACCATTTCAGTTTTACCGCTAAATTTAGCGGGGGAAATTTACTTCACGTGGCCTATACGGCAATATAGTTTCACCTCTAACTTTCGTGGGAAAAGTAACGTTACGTGATCTACACCCCAAATCAGTTTCTTCGTTAAGTTTAAGGGGGGAAATCGACGTTATGCGACCTGATATCACGTAATGCTAAGACTTTTCACGTATCAACACCATTTCCCAGCAATTTGCCATAATTAGTTTTTGCTCTCTTATTAACTGCATTACGTTCAGTTCTACAGTATAACGTTTTGTTATATAGAAAAAGCAAAAATGTCTCAAGTGAAAAAAACAAAACAGAAAAAAATGCTCTCTGTTTCTTGTTTACGATGTTAAGATAATTATTTAAAAAAGGGTCTACCATATACGACACGTAAACTACTACACTATAGTGGCAATAAACACCACTTGATTCATAATTACGTGGGTAAGCACCGAGAAACAAAAAGACAAGAAAGTAGACAGGCAAGGGCGCTTGTCTCTCTACTTTCTTGTCCCAGTGTTGTTGTCTTTCGCTTATCCACGTGAACTCAAACGACATTTAAATGAGAAAGGTCATCGCCAGACCCTTATGAAACATACATTTATCATGTTACAGGCGCGGTAAAGGCGTGCGACGTCTAAAGGAAAGGCGAGAAGAAAACAAATCAAATTTCGAAAAACCCAAAGTCGAATGCATTACCGTTTAATGGGTTTGATATATTTATAAGATACGCTACTTCCATAATAAATGTTATTCGTCGATATTTTCTTTACAGGAATGATGCATCATGGTATCGTTCGCTCTGAGTACTCCTGTAACACATTTTTGTG